GACTGCTCCTGCCTCCCTCTGCCATCTTTTGGTGCTGGACCTCCCCCGCAACCTCCCTTTCCCCGTGCTCTAAAAATACCTGGCCTCCCTACCACCTCTTCCCCATCACCCACCCCGCTGCGCTCCTGTTACTGCTCCCGTACCACCTTCGCCTTACTCTCCCACTCCTGCCTCCCGTTACCTCCTCTGCACCCCTTCCCTCCCCCAACCCTGCCTGCCGTTACCTGCTCCCTACACCTTCCCACCTGCCCTCAACCTGCCTCCCGTTACCTGACTCCTCACCCCTTCCCACCTCCCCACCCCCGCCTCCGTTACCTGCCTCCCTAGCACCCATTCCCCACTCCCACTCTATGGCTCCCGTTACCTGCTCCTACCACCCCCTTCCACTCCCCAAACCCTGGCCTCCCGTTACCTGCCTCCCTACCCACCCCTTCCCACTCCCCACCCTGCCCCCGTTACCTGCCTCCCTCCACCTCCTTCCCCGGACCCCTGCCTCCCGTTCCTGCATCCCTACACCCCTTCCCCATTCCCCACCCCTGCTCCTCCCCGTTACTGCATACCCTACCACCCCTTCCCCACGCCCACCCTGCCTCCCCGGTTACTGCTACCTACCACCCCTTCCACCTCCCCCACCCCTGCTCCCGTTTACCTGCCTCCCTAAGCACCCCTTCCCCCTCCCCACCCCTGCTCCCGTTTACTGCTCCTCCTACACCCATTCCCCAACCTCCCCACCCTGCCTCCCGTGTATCGTGCTCCCTACACCCCTCTCCCCCCCTCCCCCACCCTGGCTCCCGTACCTTCCTCCTACCAGCCGACTTCCCCCCTCCCCCCCTGCCTCCCCGTTATCTGACTCGCCTACACCCTTCCACCTCCCCACCCTGCCTCGGTTACCTGCTCCTACCACCCTTCCCACCCTTCCCCATCCCCTGCCTCCCGGTTACCTGCCTCCCTTACCACCCCTTCCCACCTCCCCACCCCTGGCTCCCGGTTACCTGCTCTAACCACTCCTTCCCACCTCCCCCAACCCTGTCCTCCGGTTACCTGCGCTCCCTATCACCCCTTCCCACCTCCCCACCCTGCCTCCCCGTTACCTGCCTCCCTACCACCCCTTCCCCACCTCCCTCACCCCTGCCTCCCTGTTACCTGCCTCCCTACCACCCCCTACCCTACCACCCCCACCCCTTACCTCTCCTTTTTCCTTGCCTCCCCCTACCCACCTCCCTACCACCCTCGGCTGCCCTTGATCCTGCCCTGGTCTTGGTGCAGAGGGTGGGCCTCCGGTGCAGGGGATGGGCCTCCTGTCCAGAGGGCTTCTTGGAGCCCAGGGCAGGGGTCTGACCTCAGAACCTGTAAGCATGGCAGTGGCTGGCCCTGGAAAAGACCCTCAGTCTTGGCTCTGAGGGTGGCCAGGCAGTGTGTGAGGTGCTCAGGAGCTGTCCTTCCTGCCAGCAGCAGGGGCCAAGGCCACATCCCTCCGGAGGGATGCTGAGGAAGCTGGGCTGCAGTGGAGGTGGGGGTGGGGGCCCACAGGTAGCTATGTTCAGCTGGCAAGGCCTGGGCAGTCTCAGGTGGGCAGGGGTCTTGGACTCTGCCTGGCACTGCCAGGCCCAGGGCAGAGGGGCCTGGGGGTTCCCAGGGATCTACCTTCATGTGGACAGAGGCCTGGCCTGGGCTCTCACAGGTACCCCCTACCCTGCAGGTGGATGTTGACCTTTGTGAGCCGAGCCCCTGCCGGAATGGCGCTCGCTGCTATAACCTAGAGGGTGACTATTACTGTGCCTGCCCTGATGACTTTGGTGGCAAGAACTGCTCCGTGCCACGCGAGCCGTGCCCTGGCGGGGCCTGCAGAGGTGCTGGGGGCGGCGTGGGGTGGTGGGGGAGATGGCGGGCAGGGGCGGGCCTGACTCCTGACCGTACTGCCTGCCATAGTGATCGACGGCTGCGGGTCGGATGCAGGGCCCGGGGCGCCTGGCGCAGCAGCCTCTGGCGTGTGTGGCCCCCATGGACGCTGCGTCAGCCAGCCAGGGGGCAACTTTTCCTGCGTCTGTGACAGTGGCTTTACTGGCACCTACTGCCATGAGAGTGAGTGGCTGTGAACAGCGGGCTGGCGGTGGGGCTGGGCTGGCCTGAGGCCCTGGCTCACCCTGCTTGCTTCTGCAGACATTGACGACTGCCTGGGCCAGCCCTGCCGCAATGGGGGCACGTGCATTGACGAGGTGGATGCCTTCCGCTGCTTCTGCCCCAGCGGCTGGGAGGGCGAGCTCTGCGACACGAGTGAGTGTTCCAGCGCCCGCCCACGCGGCCTGTGCCTCCACCCCTGTGGGCCCCTCATCACCCTGAGGTGGGCTACTGTCTGGGTGCCGCAGGCCCAGTACCCGGAAGGGCCTGGCCAGAGGGTGCTGCCACCACGGGGTGGAATCTCAGGCTCCCCCATACCTGGGGTCGGCTCCCCGCCACGACGCTCCTTCCCTGCCCCTCTCTGTCCTCCCTTGGCCCAGCTCCAGGGCTTCCTCCCCCGGGAAGCCCTCCCTGAGCGCCGGTGACCCCCCGCCTGCTGACCGGCGTCCTCGCCCCCAGATCCCAACGACTGCCTTCCCGATCCCTGCCACAGCCGCGGCCGCTGCTACGACCTGGTCAACGACTTCTACTGCGCGTGCGACGACGGCTGGAAGGGCAAGACCTGCCACTCACGTGAGTGCCCGCAGGCCCCGGCCGCCGACCCTGGCCCTGGCGGTCTGGGGCCCGCCTGCTGAGCGGCCCATGTGCCCACAGGCGAGTTCCAGTGCGACACGTACACCTGCAGCAACGGCGGGACCTGCTACGACAGCGGGGACACCTTCCGCTGCGCCTGCCCCCCCGGCTGGAAGGGCAGCACCTGCACCGTTGGTGAGGAGCCCCCGACGCCCCTGTGACCGCTGGGCATGGGCCCTCCCTGGCGCCGCTCCCTTGGGCGTGATGGGCGGAGGGGTCTTTTTTGAGGGCCACACCTGCCCCTCGCCCCTGGGTCTGTCTGCCCTGTCTGGGTTGGGGGCGTGGTATGGAGACCCAGGGCCTGCGCAGGGCCAGGTGAGAAGCTCCCTCCTCCTCCTCTCCTTGCAGCCAAGAACAGCAGCTGCCTGCCCAACCCCTGTGTGAACGGGGGCACCTGCGTGGGCAGCGGCGCCTCCTTCTCCTGCATCTGCCGGGACGGCTGGGAGGGCCGCACTTGCACTCACAGTGAGCACGGGAGGGACATCCACAGACGACATCCCTGTCCCCGACTCTCCCCCCATCCCCTTCTGCCAGCCCCTCCCCTGGCTGCCCCTGCCCCCAGCAAAAGGCACCCTCCTTGATGCCCTCCCCAGCCCCACAGCCCGATCACGCCGAGCCAGCCTGGACCGTGCCTGGCACGCTTGGGGGGTGGGTACTGATCCCCTGCCTTCTCCTTCTTCTCCCAAACCAGATACCAACGACTGCAACCCTCTGCCTTGGTGAGTGGCACCCGGGGGCCGCAGCAGGGGTGGGTGGGACTTGGCATATCGCGGGGGCCGCCTGATGCCTGCCCTCTGCTCTGCAGCTACAACGGTGGCATCTGTGTTGACGGCGTCAACTGGTTCCGCTGCGAGTGTGCGGCTGGCTTCGCGGGACCTGACTGCCGCATCAGTGAGTGGCCTGGGATGACAGACAGCCCCAGCCCGGGAGCCCTTCCAGCCCAGCCGAGGTGTCAGGAGTCTGGGGACATCAACATCCACATCCCTTGAAGGGCAGTGTGGCCACAGCCACTTCCTGCCTCTCTCTGAGCCTCAGTTTCCCCACATGACTGTGCCCTGTGGAGTTCCTGCGGTGTACCCTGCCAAGTGACTGTGGGGGTTGGAGCATGCAGCTTGACATGGGCTCCTCTGTGGCCGCAGGGCTGTTGTCCCTGGGTGTCGGCCCAGGTATCTGTCCAGCACCACTTGGCTGGTCCAGCGCAGCAGCTGGGGCTAACCCAGGATAGGACAGGCCCACTGCAGAAGCAGATGGAGGAGGGTGCTATTGGGCCAGGGTCAGGCTGGGCTCAGGAAGGCCTCGGGCAGGTGGCAGCTTGGGTGCTGGGGCAGGTGGGACCTGCAGGGCTGGCGAGGCCTCTGTGCCGGCCTAGGGGCTGCTTCTCATCGGCCTGGGGCTTGCACCCGCGTGCCACTGGCTCCCCGCTGCCCTAGGCCATGCCGGTGCTGCGGTGGCCGTTCACCGTGCTCAGCAGCAGCCGCTCTCCCCGCAGACATTGACGAATGCCAGTCCTCGCCCTGCGCCTACGGGGCCACGTGTGTGGATGAGATCAACGGGTATCGCTGTAGCTGCCCCCCTGGCCGAGCCGGCCCCCGGTGCCAGGAAGGTAGGCCCCGTGTGATTGCCCTGGCCTGGGGCGGGTTGGGGGCCATGGGTGAGACCCAGCCCCGAGGGCCAAATGCACACTGCTGACCCTTGAGCCCCTTCTCCCCACAGTGATCGGGTTCGGGAGGTCCTGCTGGTCCCGGGGCACTCCGTTCCCGCATGGAAGCTCCTGGGTGGAAGACTGCAACAGCTGCCGCTGCCTGGATGGCCGCCGTGACTGCAGCAAGGTGCGGGCTGCCTGTGAGCCTCCCTGCCCTGCCCGAGGCTGGTGCACGCTGACCCTGACCACTCTGTGAGATCAGGAGGCGGGTGCTGGGGTCAGGATGGGCTGAGAGCTGTCTGCCCCCACTTGAGGGACACCCAGGGAGGGGGGAGCTCAGCCAGGCCCCATGCTTCAGTGTGCAGTTGGGAAAACTGAGGCCTGGTCTGGGTCCTGCCTTGCTCCGCCTGCCCTTTCTGGTGTTGAGCTTGGCCTGCCTTCCTGGGAGCCCTGGGTGGGGGGTGGGCTGGGACTCACAGACCTGGGCGGTGTCCCTCCCTGGCATGGGGCCTGTGCCCGCCTGTGGGTCCTCATCTGTGTGCCTGCATCTGACCCTCCTGTGCGTAACTGCCCAGGTGTGGTGCGGGTGGAAGCCTTGTCTGCTGGCCGGCCAGCCCGAGGCCCTGAGCGCCCAGTGCCCGCCGGGGCAAAGGTGCCTGGAGAAGGCCCCAGGCCAGTGTCTGCGACCACCCTGTGAGGCCTGGGGGGAGTGCGGCACAGAAGAGCCACCGAGCACCCCCTGCCTGCCGCGCTCCGGCCACCTGGACAATAACTGCGCCCGCCTCACCTTGCGTTTCAACCGTGACCATGTGCCCCAGGTGAGGGGCCTGGTGGCATCTGAGCTTGCAGAGGCCACACGCCGGCATCTGCTTGTGGCATGGCCAAAGCCTAGCCCCGTGGGGCAGGGAGGCCCTGGCTGGCTGAGCAGAGTCACTCTTGGTCACAGAGAGTGGCCCTGTGGGGTGAGATGAGAGGGGCATTGGGCCTGGTGCTGGGTGTGGGTGGCAGAGGAGGCCGGGAGAGCAGCCAGCTGGGGGTGCCTGTTTGTCCAGCTGTCCTGAGGGCCTGGACTGATGGCGCCATGGCTGCCTCACCCCAGCTCTTGGGCTGCAGCGCTGTGGGCAGTTTTGCCCTAGCCAAGGACCCAGCTTTGTCTGCTGTGTGCTTGGAGCTGGGCCCCCGTCTCCCAGGAAGGGCTCAGAACTGGAGGAGACCCACTGTACCCCGCCCCTGCCTCTCCTCCCCCCACTGCCCTGCAGGTGGCGCTGGCTCTGCCATGAGGGCAGGCGAGTGGGCACCGTCACTCCTGCCTCCTGGTATAGGGCACAGCCGGGTGGGAAGCTGCCCCCACTAGACCCTGGGCATCCCTGCTCTGCTCTCCTGGGCGGGCTACAGGATGTGTCCCGCGTGTACCCACAGTGCCAGTCCAGGGACGTAGCTGTCAGGTTCACGGCCCTGCCCTGCCCATGCACTGCCTGTCTCTGCCCAGGGCACCACGGTGGGCGCCATTTGCTCCGGGATCCGCTCCCTGCCAGCTACGAGGGCTGTGGCACGGGACCGCCTGCTGGTGTTGCTCTGCGACCGGGCGTCCTCCGGGGCCAGTGCAGTGGAGGTGGCCGTGGTGAGTGCCAGTGGGGAGCAGCACCTGGGTGGGCCCTGGGTCCAGTCCTGTGCAGGTGCTGGCTGTGCTGGGCAGAGGCTCTGGCTAGGCTAGTCATGGTGCGGAGGGACTGCAGGCAGGCATGTCTCCCCAGGCTGGGGCTGCGGCCCCTCACTGCCCATGCTGCAGGCTCATAGAACTACTCCCTGGGCCTGGCCAGCACTGGGGACATGCAGGCCTGTGGTGTGGAGCCCGCTTCCCCTGCAGCTGCATCCTCGCCTGGTCCCCTGCTCTGTCTTTGCCTCTGTGTCCCCACGTCACAGGCAGCAGGAGAGTCCGCGGGCTCAGTCTGCCCTGGGAGGCCTGCTTTGGGACTGGCACCTGCCCTGGCCTTGGGGGGTGTCAGATGTGAGTGGATACCAAGGGGGTCGGGTGAGACTGGAGTGGGGATGTGCCTGGAGAGGGGAGGGAATGTTCTGGAACATGATGAGTGTGTGTGCAGAGCAGTGGGTGTGGCTATGGCACAGCGTAGCAGGTGGAGGCCACGGCCAGGCACAGGAGGGATGTGCAGTGTTTTGGTGCCCTGAGGCTGCAGATGGCGTGGGGGACATGGGTGGGTGCTGCTGGGTGATGGAAGGGCAGTAGGGACAGGGGGAAGATGTGAGAAGTATGCCAGCACGGGCTTGGCGCCATCAGGGACGTGGTGGAGGCAGGGGCACAGCCCCGGGTTGCTGTGGCCTCGTGAAGGCACTAGGTTTGTGGTGCCCTTGGGGCGTGGCCCATAGGTGGGGGTGAGGGCTGGGAGCTGACGAGAAGGGATGGCCATCTCGGAGCAGGCGTCAGTGAATGGAGCCACACCCCCCACCGACCCACTGCCTGGTGGTAAGGTCCCCACCGCAGGACTCCAGGCTCTCCTGTGTGCCCGGACGGGGCCACCCTCCACCCCTCCACTTCCCCCCGCCACTACTGCCTGGTGGTGAGGCCCCCACTGCAGGACCCCGGGCTCTCCTGTGTGCCCACCATGCTCCAGCGTGGCCAGAGCCTCAGTATTGGGGGCAGGCTCCTGGGAGCCTGGGGCTCTCGGGCCATCCCCCCAACGCCTTTCTTTGCCGCAGTCCTTCAGCCCTGCGAGGGACCTGCCTGACAGCAGCTTGATCCAGGGCGCGGCCCATGCCATCGTGGCCGCCATCACCCAGCGGGGGAACGGCTCACTGCTCCTGGCTGTCACCGAGGTGAAGGTGGAGACAGTCGTTATGGGCGGCTCTTCCACAGGTAAGCACGAGAGGTGGGCCCCTGGGAAGGTGCCAGGCGGGCAACTCAGGCATTGGCATAGAGCCGGCCGATCCTGCCAGCCACCAGGAACACAGAAGTCCCTGGCACCTGCTGCCCCAGCCGCCCAGCCCCACAACCCGACCTTCCCAGCCCCCGTCCTGGGACCCTCCCCACAAGCCAGGAACCAGAGGGTGGGGCCTGGCCGCCTGGCCAGCAGGGCCCTCCCAGGCCTGGATGTGTGTGGCTAGTGCCCTGCAGGCACCCAGGCCTCAGTGCCTACCGGCTCTTCTCCCCGGTCCCCAGGTCTGCTGGTGCCCGTGCTGTGTGGTGCCTTCAGCGTGCTGTGGCTGGCGTGCGTGGTCCTGTGCGTGTGGTGGACACGCAAGCGCAGGAAAGAGCGGGAGAGGAGCCGGCTGCCGCGGGAGGAGAGCACCAACAACCAGTGGGCCCCGCTCAACCCCATCCGCAACCCCATCGAACGGCCGGGGGGTGGCCCGTGGGGCGGCGGGGGCCACAAGGACGTGCTCTACCAGTGCAAGAACTTCACGCCGCCGCCGCGCAGGGCAGACGAGGCGCTGCCCGGGCCGGCCGGCCACGCGGGCGTCAGGGAGGACGAGGAGGACGAGGATCTAGGCCGCGGTGAGGAGGACTCCCTGGAGGCGGAGAAGTTCCTCTCGCACAAATTCACCAAAGATCCTGGCCGCTCGCCGGGGAGGCCGGCCCACTGGGCCTCGGGCCCCAAAGTGGACAACCGCGCGGTCAGGAGCATCAATGAGGCCCGCTACACTGGCAAGGAGTAGGGGCAGCCGCCAGCTGGGCCGGGACCCAGGGCCCTCGGTGGGAGCCATGCCGTCTGCCGGACCTGGAGGCCAAGGCCATGTGCATAGTTTCTTTATTTTGTGTAAAAAAACCACCAAAAACAAAAAACAAATGTTTATTTTCTACGTTTCTTTAACCTTGTATAAATTATTCAGTAACTGTCAGGCTGAAAACAATGGAGTATTCTCGGATAGTTGCTATTTTTGTAAAGTTTCCGTGCGTGGCACTCGCTGTACGGCAGGAGAGAGCAAAGGGTGTCTGCGTCCTCACCAAATCGTAGCGTTTGTTACCAGAGGTTGTGCACTGTTTACAGAATCTTCCTTTTATTCCTCACTCGGGTTTCTCTGTGGCTCCAGGCCAAAGTGCCGGTGAGACCCATGGCTGTGTTGGTGTGGCCCATGGCTGTCGGTGGGACCCGTGGCTGATGGTGTGGCCTGTGGCTGTCGGTGGGACTCGTGGCTGTCAGTGGGACCCGTGGCTGTCGGTGGGACCTACGGTGGTCGGTGGGACCCTGGTTATTGATGCGGCCCCGGCCGCCGGCACGGCCCGTGGCTGTTGGCGCACCTGTGGTTGTTAGTGGGGCCTGAGGTCATCGGCGTGGCCTGAGGCCAGCAGGTCGACCTCGCGCTTGCTGGCCAGTCCACCCTGCCCGCCGTCTGTGCTTCCTCCTGCCCAGAACGCCCACTCCAGCGATCTCTCCACTGTGCTTTCAGAAGTGCCCTTCCTGCTGCGCAGTTCTCCCCTCCTGGGACGGCGGCAGTATTGAAGCTTGTGACAAGTGCCTTCACACAGACCCCTCGCAACTGTCCATGCGTGCCGTGGCACCAGGCGCTGCCCACCTGCCGGCCCCGGCCGCCCCTCCTCGTGAAAGTGCATTTTTGTAAATGTGTACATATTAAAGGAAGCACTCTGTATATTTGATTTAATAACGTCAACATTCCGGCCTCCCTTGTTCTTTGGGTGCTGTTCCTTTTGCATTTAGAGTCAGACTGGGAGAGAACCGCGCCGGCAGAGAGGCGTGAGGCAGGGGGCACGTGCTGGGTGTTGGCCCACATGGCTGTGGTGGCTGTGGAGGGTGAGACGGTCCTGCTGAGTCAGGGCCTGCCAGGGCCTCGAACGTATTGCCAAGTTGGTGGATGCAGGTTTGGCCAAAACCTTCCTGGGAATGGGGAGGGGGGTGTCTAGGTGCCTGGCACCTGACCCTGACTACAAACAGCCTAAAACAGTTTTATAAAATAGTATAAAATTGCTTACCCACGAATACCTATCAAGGTCTTAAGGAATTAACAGTTCAAAATTTTTATTCATTCATTTATTCCTTTGTTTTGCTTGTTCATTCAGAGGCAAGGTCAGCATTTGAGAGACTGGAGGCAGGAGAGAAGCAGCCCTTCCACCTGGCCCTGGAGCTGGTTTTGCCTCTCACTGCTTGAGCCAACTGGAACATGGCATGGTGGCTTCAGGGCTGGGCATGGAAGGCCGACTCCAAGGCTGACTCCGAGCCGTCTGTCAGTGACGTGCAAGTCTTTAACCTGCTGTGAGGGGCAGGAGGTCAACTGAGTCAAGGAGCAAAGCCAAGAACTAGATCTATACAAAAAAGAAGAAAAAAGTCCTGCTGACAGCCTGGGAGTGAGGCTGCCTTGCACAGGCAGAACAAATGAATAAATGAATGAATGAATAAAAATTTTGACCTGGTAATTCCTTAAGACCTGCTGGTTGCTACAGAAGTTACTCTGGATGTCTATTGAGCACTGCTGCTAGGGACTCCAGTGAGCACTGCTGCTGTGGACTCCAGGAAGCCGTGCAAATGAGCTATGGTGTGCACTCCAGGGGCGGTCTCTCTCTCCAGCTGGAGTCCTCCCATGAGCTCCTCCACCGTATTGAGCCGGGTCTGCAGGGACACACAGAGGAGCTGGTAGGAGATCCTGCTTGCCATCGGCTGCTCACAAGCCCAAGGCTTGTGCCCTCAGGGTGGGGGCAGGGGTTAAACCCACCTCCTGCCTTGGCCCCAAGGAGTTGACCAGGCAGTTCAGGCAGAAGGCCAGCCCCTGAGGAGTCATGTACACCATGACTCGTGTGGACATGAAGCCCATGTTCCCACCACCAGGTTGGCCAAAAAGACGGCAGGCTTTGAGTTTCGTTTTAAACGGCGTTTACCTAACTTGCAGTTCCCTAGGTTCCTGGTGGAACCAAATGCAAATCACCTTTGTCGTAGACCTCCGTACGCCTCATGAATGATTTTTCAAGGTCAGTGAGTAGACCACAATCAAACCAAGCACACAGGGGAACCTGGCACCATGATTGAAATGTGTGCAGAGGCATCTGAGTATACTGGAATTCTCAGACATGGATTGTAAAAAGCTTGCTGTGCTCAAAGACAGCTTGGAAAAGCTGACAGGCCAAACAAACTTCAACCTAGCACCAAGTGGAACTTCTGGAAATGAAAAAAAAATACAATCTTCAAACTAAACACTCCAGAAGTAGTTTGGCAGCCACTCTTAGACACTGCTAAAGAGAGAATTTGTGAACTAGAAGATAGGTGAGAAGAAATGATCCAGGCTACCCACCAGGACAAGAGATAGAAAATAGCATCAGCAGCTGAGGAGGGGGCCCCAGGCAAGGGCCTGGCAGGGGCTGTCCTGAGACCCATGGGAGCCCATCAGGCATGGAGTGAGCAGTGAGTAGGTGCGGCAGGTATAGCAGGTGTCATGGGTGGGGCTGGGTTGCCTAGTTACTTCTGCAGGAAGTGTCCCACAGACCTGCACCTCCCTGGCTGTGCCAATGTGTTCCCCCAATTCTGGGGAAGCCCCTGTAACCTCAGGGAGATGCATCTGGCTTGGAGTCTCACAGGACATAGACTGGCCTCTGTGCCTGTGTAAGGGTGTGCGGCTGTTGGAGGGGTGGCACTCAGGGGTCAGCATGCACCAAGTGTGCATGGGTTGAGCTGAGAGCCTCTGCTGTTGCCTGCATGTGTCCATGGTGAGCAGGCTTGCCACCCCAACCCCAAGCTTGTTGTCCAGTGTCCTGAGCCCACTGGGAGTTCATGGCCTCCCTCCACCCCATACTCAGTCATAAACCACCACTTAGGTGACCTTGCACCTTTTCAGGCCTGGCTGGTGCCTGGCCATAGCCAGCCCATGTGGATGGCAGCACCAAGAGGTCCAGGCCCGGCCAGCAGGCTTACTGCTCGCCGTCTCACACCATGCCAGGGTGGATGATGGGGCTCTTCTTCATCTCAGTGCTACCACCCCCATGGTGTGGTCATAAGCCAGGCTGGGTTCTGGCCCAACCCCCTGGGGTGAGCCTGGCAGTCCCCTCCTTCGGACCCTAGGCCACCTCCACGCCTCCCGAATGCCACTCACCTGCCTCACAGAGTCCACTATACAGAGGCCAGGGTCCACAAGTGAGGGTTAGGCCCCAGGGTCCATCCTGCTGCCACCAAAGCCTTGTTCCCTTGTGGGTGGGTGGAGGAGTGGCTGCCTCCAGAGAGGGTGCTGTGTGGTCTGCAAATCTAGCGAAGGAAGGCAGGCTCCCTGGCACCCCCAGGCTGGTGCCAGGCTCCTGGGGCCCCTCTGGCTGTGGCTGCAGGAACCCTGGCGGCCACCCCCGCTCTGGCCGCTGGGCTTGGGACCTGTGCCACTCCTGTTTGCCCCTCAGGACACGCAGGCGTGCCCTGCCGCCCATCCTGGCTGCCGAGTTCCTGGAGCCCGTTGTGTCCTGCCCTGCCATGGAGCGGGGACCCCCGACGGCGAGTCTCCCGCTGCCTCCACTCTTTTTGCTCTTCCTGTTGACAGGTCTGGGGTTCTGACCCGCTGTGCGGAGGGAGAGCTCCTCTGTCACTGGGGCACATGTCACCAAAATGAGCACCTGGGCCTCCCCAAGCCTAGTGGGCAGTGAGCTTGGGGGACACCAGGCTCTGAGGCATGTGCCAGGAATGGTGGGGATGGGCTGGGCACAGGGCCTGTTCCCCACACTTTGGAGCTGCTCCCAGCTGGGCCCAGAGGCTACATGGCTGTTGGCTGTGTGGCTCGGATGGGAAGGGTCTGGATGCAGAGGGAACTCTCAGGTGGCCACTGTGGCCCCAGGAGGGTGCCTGGCTGAGGAGGCCCTGGGCAGCAGGCGCTCACTCAGGCAGAGGATACAGGGAGCCACACCACCATCCCTGCCACCACTTTCCAGGCAGAGTGACCTGTGCACAGAGGCCAACCTGCAGGCTAGATGGCATGGGCGGGGCCCCATGCGCACATGCCTTGGAGACTCCCGCCTCCCTGGGCCATCCTCTCCCACCTCTTCTCATTCCCACACTGTCCGAGCAGGGAGCAATGAGTCGGCCCTGCCTAGACTGGCTCGAGAGGTGCGTCCTGACTGCGCCGTCTGACCCAGCCTGGGACCAAGTCATGGCAGGGGCCTGCTGTGGGTGCAGAGCCCCTCTCAGGTGGTGAAGCAGCACCTCCCGCACCCACTGCTGCCAGGGCCGCCTGCTGCGTCCTTGGTGTTCGGCTGCCGGGACTGCGCCTGCTGGTTCTGCTTGGCAACAGCTCTGACTGCCGCGTCTCCGAAGAAACCGGGCTCCAGGGTGCAGAGAGGAGGTTCCACACAGGAGCCTGGTCCCTGCGGTGGCCAGACCCATTAACCCCTGCAGGCCAGGCAGCAGCAGCCAGCTGGTATGGGCCTCATGGTGGCCACAGGCCCAACTCCAACTGTCCCAAGACCCAGCAGGGCTCACCCCTTCCCCATCAGACCCAGGGTCTTCCAAGGAGCCCCTGAGGTCAACAGGGACCTGTTAGGTCTCGGATGGAGAGCATCTGGATGCCAGGGCTTGAAGACCTTTATACAAAAGGGGAAACAGGCCCGGGAGGAAGGGACCTGCCCTGTGACATTCTTCATGGCTCCCCAGCCCTGGTGGATTCAGGGGCTAGGATATGAGTCTTGGGGTGGCGTTCTGAGAGGAGGGCAGCCAGCAGAAGGCATGGAGCCACGGGAGGGCTTGCTGGGGACAGTGGTGTCAGTGTGGCTCTGGGCCAGGGGGCTGGGGTGGCAGCTGGGCGGCACCGGGGGCTTCTCCTCTGGGTAGAGAGGCGCTGTGGAGCATCTGTAGGGGCAGAGGCCGGGGCCCTAGGAAGCTCACTCTAGGCTAGAAGGTGTAGCCTGTGGGGGTCACCTGTTCAGCTGCAATATTGTTATCCTGCTGTTGATCTGGGAACCAGGAAGTGTCTGCTTGAAAGCCTTCTGTGGAAGAAGGAAGCCCAAACGGTAAGGAGGATTCTAGAAGCACGGAGGAGGCTGGAAAAGGCTGCCGAGAGGCCTCCGCGGCTGCAGCGTCCTTGCTCTGGTGGATTGGCCAGGTGGCTTCCTTGTGCATCACAGGTTTGGGGTGGCCCAAGGGGAAGGGGGTCTGACCCCAAGGGCTGGCAAGGACACACTCATCAACCGTGGGCAGGAGACAGGTCCTGGGAGAGCGCCCAGGCCATGGGACGCGTCCACTCAGGCAGGAGGCCTCTCACCGGGCAGGGCTGGGCAGCCCAGGGTCCTGAAGACAGCCTCCCCTACGGTGGCCAGGATCACCCCCGGGCTCCTCAGCCCTCATCCCACATGTTGCCATTTCCACAGCTGGATCCAGTCCCCCCACTCAGCACCCCGTCCCGCCCCTGCCTTCCACTCCTGCAGGCCTCTGGACGCCAGGACTGCCCCCCAACCCCGCCAGTCCGCGACTGCCCCCCAACCCCGCCAGTCCGCAACAGCCCTGAGGGGCTCGGTAGCCAGAGATAGGCCCTGCCTGGACGCACAGCGCGGAGCCGCAGAGGGGGGGCCAGGCGCCTCATCGTCAAAGATGCTCATTTGACGTGATCAAAGTGCGGCACAAAATGGCTTTCCGGAGCTAGAGCCCTGAGGTCCCAATGAGCAATCGGGCAGCAAAGCAGAAGAACAGGGCGGCGGGGAGCTGGTGCCGAGACTCACACGAGGCCTGGAGTCAGAGACGGGGAAAGGAAACTCGGGGCACAGCCTCTGAGTCCCAGGAGCTGCAGAGGGAGAGGGAGGGACGGACGGAGGTGAGAACATTACATGAAAGAGAGCATTTCTCTGAGCTAAGTGGAGACCGCAGCCCGCAGACCGAGGGGCCCACCGGCTTCAGGCTGGGAACCTGGTGCCACGGCAAGGCCTGGGGAAAAGGAAGCCTTCCGAAGCCACAGGCAGACGCCCCGCCAACGGGGAAAGAGAATGGACAGTGTGGTGAGCTAGAGCAGCGAGCCCCGCAGAACGAGGCCCCCTGCCCGGCTGTGGTCGGCGGGCTGGGGGCGGGTGTGCAGACCCTGCAGAAGGAAGGCCATGCACCAGTTCCTTGGGAAGGTGCCTGGCAAAGCCACTAGTTTCCAATGCAGGTGCCCTTCGGTGCAGCAACCTACAGCGCCAGCCACGAGGGTCCCAGGCCTAGGAGGGCTGCAACTGCACAGCCACGCGTGGCATGGACCAGGCACCAGACAAGACCACCACGGGAGAGGCCACTGGGGAGGCCACCTGGCTGCGGGGCCTCACAGGGCAGTGCGCAGGTTCATGGAGCAAGCACACTGCGGCAGATTGCTGGAAAGGAGGAATTCAGAAACAAGCCAGCGTATGATATGATCTGTGCTTGTTTTTTTGTTGTTGTTGTTTTGTTTTGTTTTGAGACAAGGTCTCACTCTGTCA